TCCAACTTATTGCTGAGGCTAAAAATAAGGACATAATGAAGATTGTTCTAATGTATGGTTGGGTGGGTGAAAGTGATTATCTTGGCAGGAATACTTTGGCTTTCATTTTTTTTCCTTTTCTTTTATTCTTTTATTTGGCCCTTGTTACTTTTAATAATTACTTAGCTCTGATGGATTCTATTAGCATTCTGGTAAAATACCCAGTTAGGTTTTATTATGCAAGTCTGTTTCCACAATAATATTAGTATTAATCAACTGATATTGTTAAAATTTTCAGGATATAATTGATAAATATACTATGAATTTCAGCTTATGAGAAATGCTTTCTTTGTCTTCGTCACTGTGCAGCCAGGCTACTAGAATGAGTTTTTATTGAGTTGCCATCTCTAGAATCGTTTCTAACCAAGGCTATAGAACCCAGTTTGTCCTGTTTAGCCAAGAAATGGAGGTGTTCATAGCTTTCCTAAGGGTATTTGCATGTAAGTGAATGTCCCAAACTTGGCTGGGATTTGAACTTGGCTCTCTGATTTCACATCCTGAGCTGTTATCTATTATACCACTTGCACATTTCACTCTGAATTTCATCTTGTATGTTTTAATTAAAAAAATATGATGGTGTGAAATTTCATTATATAATCTAAAGGGTTGTTTATCATGTAAATCTATAAAATAGTGTAGTTTATTAACTTTCTAATTTCAGATATATAAAACTACTATAGGTCATAGTTGTAAAATTATTGAGAAGGAAAACAACTTTGAATATTGGAAAAAATTGTTCAGAGAACAATCAAATAAGAAATTGTATACAAAGATAAAAAAATAACTGGCTTTTAAAAATGACAAAGATATTTGATTTGAGAAAAATTAAAAGGGTAATAAGCAAAAAAAAAATGGATTGACCAGCAAGAAAAATTTTGAAGCTGATGTTGCAAATGTAAATTGAAAAAAGTGGAATATTAAGAATATTGGCTAAAGACATGAAAATAAAAATAAATTTAGGTAAATATTGCAACAAGAAATGTGTAAGTTGGTTAAAGTGATGTATGAAAGTTAATTTCCCAAGCACTATGTGCAACCATTAGTCTTGGTAGGGGTACAGGAGTTGTTTCCCTTTGTGTTTACTTAGGTGACTTGACGGAGAAAGACTTCATTTTTGACTTTGGAATTCTTTCGCCCTTTGTTGGATCTTATTTTTATATATTTAAAGCTGACTGTCTAGAAATGTTTAAAAATATCAACTTAATGAAATGGCTTCCTAGTTTAATAGAAAATTTGTGGTTCATCATTGAGATGTATATAAGAGAAAACTAGGTTCAAGCAAAGAAAGTCTCTGGCAAGTAATAAAACCTGTTGTAAGTAATGTTAATCAAAGTCAGGTCTATAGTATATTGTGCTAAACAAGTATATATTTGTATGGCATTTTGTATTTACAAATAAAAATTTGTTGGATAACAAAAATCCTGACACCCCCAAACAACAATATTTTTAAGTATAGATATACATTGGAACTCGTATATTGCTCCTATATAATAAGTAAATTCTGAAATATGAAATCTGTATTAACCAACATTTTCATTATGAAAACCTTGACTTGCATAATAAAATCTAGTCACAGTGTATGGTTGGAATATATAAAAAGTATTGGTTGTAGAACTGAAAGTTAAAATTTTGTTTATATCAATACAGGAGTGTAAAATAAGTCTTCTTTTTGTTTACTAATTGTTACTTTTTCAGTTGGAAAGGCATGAACATAAACTTTCTTTGTGTCTTTTTATCATATTGGTTGCATACTTTGAGTATTTTATGAAGATAAAATATTAGGTGGATAATGAGTGTAATATTAGGTTATTATTAATCTCCCTTAAACCTGAAATGTTTCTTGGAAACAAGTGACTAAACAAAAACAATTCCAGCATCCCAATCAACATAAAAATATAATCTATCATCTTAATACTAATCAGTGTTATTGTCATAAATGCTATAATAATGGCACCAATAACAACTATTGTTAAAGGTGTAATCATTTTCTTAAGAACTGTATGCCAAATTAGATATTTTGGTAATATCTGCAAAATTTTATTCCCTCTTGATAATGTCAAGACTGGGCCATTTTGAGGAAAATTTGTTTGAAAAGGTGTAAATACATTTTTTCCATAAAAATGTATTTTTAACTGTTTTTTACTCAAATAACTTGTAATGATTTTTTATGAAAAATTATATTCTCACTTGAATTAAAGGTGTCTATTGAAACCTTCCTAATATTTAAGGAAAGTGTAAATTCAATAAAAAATAAACACCTGTTACATACCCACTGTACAGATTCATATCTTACAATTTTGATGTGATGTTTAAAATCTAATTTTACTACTGTATAATGGCTGTAAATGCTCTTTATAATAACTTTGATACAGATGGTGTCAACTTAGTCTATCACTATAGCTAGAAAATGTTTCTCTACTAAATTTTATCTAAATAATGTGAAACATTTTAAGTTACTAATTCTATTCTTACGTAAACCTTATCAAAGTAATCAAAAGTGTGTATCTCTTTTTCCAGTTGCTTAAATTTTAATTTCATAGAATTTGCTATATTAAAAACACTAAACTGTGTTATTTATTTTTCTATCAAATATGTTCAACTGAGAAAACAGTTTTATAGAAAAAAAAAATTGTAATATTGAATATTTTGAAATGTTTGAAGAAATTTCATATGAAAATATCCCATATTTTGAGCAAAATTAACTCTTATTTACACATTTTAGTTACATGAACATGCAAGGAGAGAAAATGACCTCCATTCAGGTTTTATGAAACTCAATAGAATGAATGAATTTAGTGTAAGAAATCTGACTCTATAGTTTATTCATGTGTACCTTGGTATCTCCAATTCACTTGTAGAAATTTGACACCTGAATAATAAAAAGGATATCTGAATAAAACTTAATTTTTCTGCACATCAGAGGCAGAAAGAAACAAATTTTGATTTCTGCATTTGCACTTGTTTATTTTGTAAACACTGTTATAAACTAGCATTACCTTATTGTGGCTTTAAAAATGCATTGATTTTTAAAGTCTTCTAAAATTCATCAAATTATCAGATTTTAAAACCTAGCATTTATGTAAAATAATTTTTTAATTTTTTTTTTTAATATTTTGTAAAAAAAATTTTCATGCAATTTCACTTTTTTTTTTTTTATATATTTTCAATTGTGTATATTGAGGCAGACACTTTAAGATAGGTTCTTGAAAAATAAATACGATAAAAATTTGGAGGTCTGAAATGTCTATATGGATGCATTAATCTGGACTTAAAAAATAAAAATATGGACCTTGCTGAAGATTATTTTAATTCTATTTTTAGGCTATTGTCTGTAACAAAAAATTTTTTTTTGAAAAATATATATATATATATATATATATATATATATTTATTTATGTTATGAAAAACTTGGTAATCCGAAGGAGGATGAAATCCTGAGAGCTCATTGTAAATCCAGAGCTAATATTTTAAAGAAAAACAAACCACTTTAAGGTTCCATTATAATAATTTATTTTGCCAGATCCCTTTTAAAGGACTCCGGATCATCAGATAGCACTTCCAAAAATGAAATGAAAACTGATGGGTAGTGTAAGTTTTTGTAATTTAACAGTGTAATAGGGGTAGTTAGAGAGACATGGTAAAGTTTAGGGAGGGTTTAATTTAATATCTAAGTTTAGGGAGGGTTTAATTTAATATCTTTCTCAATCATTGGGGGAGGAGGAGTGACCAGATTTGTTGGAGAGCTCTAATACATCACTTGTCTTTTTTTGATACTGCTATAGTATGATATTTACTATTCATTTTCTATTATGGTATGATATTTACCAACTGTTGGAAGTGTGAAATATGTTGGCATTATGGTTAAAGGCAGCGAACTGGTTATGTATTTAAAATCATTAACAATTTTTATATATATAAAAAAAATCAATGATTTTAATGTTTGTAAACTGATTTGATGTCAATTAAAAAAAAAAACAGTAAACAGGTCATCGTTTTTCCTGAGCATTTTCCAGCATTAATGAGTGCATCATTATTTACAGTAGGTTGCACAATTGCCTCAGTATATAGATGTGTGTGTGTATGTATGTATATATATATATATATATATATATATATATATATATAATGTTTACTTACAAAATATTTTTCACAGTGAATATTATTTCTTTGAAAATCCTTTTCACCAAAAATAATGAGACCAAAAAATAGTAATAATAGTTTATCTTTATAATCATTTCATATTTCTAAATGTATTTCAGAATTAACTTTAAGTCTTATTTATGCAATTAAAGAAGAAAATATATTATATATATATATATATATATATAGGCCATGCCACCATACTATAAAGTAAAGCCATTCACTTGCTGTTGCACATGTTATGTGATAATACAAATTTCACCTTATCCACCTAAATTGATGTTTGACTTGTACTGACTGATACTAACTACCAATGTTAAAAAAAAAAATATTTTTAATGTTTTGTAAATAAAATTTGGGAAATTTTTTTACCATAATTGAGTACAAATTAATGTAACTAGTTTCCATAAAACTGTCTTAATCTTGCAATTATTTTAATAGATATTTTTATTTGTTTATAATATGAAGTTTTCTGTCCAATAATGGACATTGTTGATATTTTTATTGATCCTGGTTAATTTGAATAAACTTTAAATAATTTTTTTTTCTTCGCCATACGCGAAATTGAGCGTTAATGTTTGTCATAAAAATTAAGAAAATTTTTTTTTTTTTATATATATATTTTTTGACAAAACATCAATATTTTGGTTGGAGATAACTGTATTTGAAGTGACTGTCATCTGTGGTTAAGCCACAGCATCCAAGGGGAATAACTGGCTATAATTTGCCAAGTATAATATTATTCTCCCTGAATATTTTTTTCATACATCCATTACCTTATTTGTATCTTTTTTTTTTTTTTTTTTTTTTTTTTTAAACAGGATATGCAAATGAAGTTGGAGAGGCGTTTCGAGCTTTGGTTCATGTCAATGTTGTGCGTTTTAGTTATGTCGTGGCTTGCAGTTATGTGGCCGCTGATGCTAATCACAAAGGAAGCCTTGCTGCTGAGGTTTGTTTATTTTTAATGTAATTTTTTGCTTCTAAACTGACAATAAAACTGCTCTCACTATCCATACAATAGTGTAACTGGTATTATTACTAAATATTTAACAATATAATCTATAGAAAAACATCCTACTTTTTTTTTTTTTTTTTTTTTTTTTTTTTAACATGTAAAATACTAACCACTGTATAATTAGCCATTCTTCATTTAATGACTGACTTATAATCAACTTTAAAATCTCATAAACCTGAACTCTGAAAACTTTTCATTCTTCATAATGAATCAGAATTAATAAAGTGAAAAATAATAAAAAATTTTACTTGTATTCTATTTAAAGAATGCACATTGAAGTAATGACAAAATATAGAACTGATTTTTTAATTTATTACATTTCATGTTCAATACATTGCTCTATAAACATAAAAATAGAAATGTTACAAATGGTGCAAATTCAGTATGCCTGAAATGACACTTAGCAATCAGGTTGGAACTAAAGCTGATCATTAAGTGAGAAGTGGCCATATAACACTCTTTGATGTTATGAATGCTCTTCAAAATTTTTTTTTCAAGAAAATATTTCATGTGTTTCTGTTCTTTAAAATGTAAAGAGTGTGTTAAACTGTTTATAAGGTTAATTCATTGAGAAATATTTAGATGCAGGATTTGAAAGACAATGGTTCTGGTCACAAAACATTTATTTTTGATGACCTACATAAGTAGTATGTAGAGATCAGATTTAAGTGTTGCATGTGTATTCATTTTATGAAATATTCATAAAAATACATAGGAAAAATGTAGTCTGTTTAGTTTCTGTACAGCAAACAAATTTGCTTAATTAGGAAAATTTTAGCATGCAACAAATGATTTTCCAAAAATGACAGTTCAGCAGCAGACTGATTATAAAATTGATTGAAAGTAAATTAAATCAAAAGTATATCTTTGGAGAATTTTCTTTAACTTGAAACCTTCTGAAAAAAATTGTTTTCTAAGCATAGATTTTGATACAGTGAAAGTGAGTAAATTGGACGTTAATAATGTCTGCTGCCTGGCTTTGAAAGTAAAACAACCAATCGCTGATGAGTGGAAATTTGGGAATTTAAAAAAAAAAAAAAAAAAAAATTGCCAGCACAAAGTGTTAAAATGAACTGAGAAAAAGGATTTTAATGGGATAATAATAATAATGCAATGTTATATGAACTTTAAAGTTTTAAAGTTAATTATAGAATTGTGTGTGTATATATATATATATATATATATATATATATATATATATATATATATATATATATTTTAATTTGTAACCTTTTCTTAAGACTAGAATTTTATCAAGAAAAGTCGGCCTGTGTGTGATACTGTTTCAAGTAAAATTGGCATTATATTATTACTCTTTTTTATTTGAATGAACTACATTAAATAGAAGTTTATCTGAAATAGAAACAACTCTGTTTTGAATAATTAAATTTTCTTTTTAATGTTATATGGCTTTCTAACAGATTTTGATAGTCACATATTTTTACAAATGATATTTTAAGGTTTACTACTCATGAAGGAGAAATAAAACTATTTTTACAAAAAATTTAATGTTTTATTGCTAAATCTTGGCTGCCTTGCATTACACTAAATTTTATTATTTTTACATTTCAATAACCTGATTTTAATCCTACATATGGTAAACTTTGTTATACATTAAAAAAAATTTTAATATCTATTCACAGATATTAAAGAAAAAATAATTTAGATAAAACTTTAAATTGAAGAGCATGATACACTGAAGTTTAGAAATTTTAGCCCTTCCATATTTAGTAAATTCTAATTTTTTAAATTCAAAATTTTTTTTTTTTTTTTTCTTCATAAAAATTATTTCTTTTAGATATTTTTAGTGTATATAAATAATCTTAACTAAATTCTAATTTCATTATATTTGGCTTTTTTCCTTCAGAAAACTGAGGTTGCCTCTGAGGTAACAAAAGAGCGTGCTATTGCTATGGCTGACACTCTTGTTTGGCAAGGCCTGGCCTCTGTTGCTGTTCCAGGTTTTACTATCAACCGTGTATGTGCTCTCAGTAATAACCTTCTCCAAAGGACATCTACTCTTCCATCAAACATACGCAAATGGACAACAACGTTCATTGGGCTGGGTTGCATCCCATTCATAGTAAAACCAATTGATCATTCAGTGGACTATATGATGAACAATACTCTTAGGAAATTTTATGTATCCAAACCTGAACCCCCAGGGATCTTCCATCACGAGAGGGATGATTAGAAATCTAAATGAGAAAAAAAAAATAGTGGAAGTAAAATCAGGAAAGGGATAACAGTAGACAGATTTTTGAATCTCCTCACTTTTTCCTCTTCCCTTGTTTAATGACCAAGCTGAGAATTCTGCCCCAAAATATTGAAATGTTTGCTCCCTTTGACATCCCTTGCTTCACCTGACTGGGTAAAAAAAAAAAAAGTCAGTGAGCACAGATAATGTAAATGAAAATTTATTTTTATTTATTTATTTATTTTTTTTATTTTTTATTTTTTTTTTTAAATTGTCCTTGAAAAAAAAAAACTTGATTGGGCAGTTGGGTTAATTTTATTTATTTGGGAGGATTTTATAAACCAAACAAAACACTTCAATTTGTCTTCCTGGGATACATTTTATGAAAGGGTAGCATTTGCCTGGACTTGGCCAACAATTTTCGATTACTACAAAATGCTGTGATTTAGTATTTTTATTTAAAGAAAAAAATTTTTTTTTTTTTTTTTTTTTTAATTGCATTCCTTAATCTTGTTCTTTGCCATTTCACTGCAGATGTGCATTGATTTCAAGCCAAAAGATAAGTGTATTGTAAATCTTTATCATTGTTATTGTAGTCTACTTGGGAGCAGCTGATGAAATTCCTTGCATTAAACTTTTGTTCCAGATCATTTTATTTTGGCAGTGAATTGAATAGTGATTCAAGATAATTTGTAATAGTAATGAAGGCAGTAAAAACAATACTTATTCTAAAGTAGCTGATGAGATATTTCACTGTAATGATATCACACAAAAATATCCTGGTTCCAGCAGTTAATGATTTGTGGATAGTCTGCTTCAATTGTGTAAAAGCAATTTTTTTTTTATTTTATTTTTAATGTTCCATAATTTTTTGTTTTTCTTTTTTTTTTTTTTTAGAAAGCAAAAATTAAAAAGGCACTTTTGTTTTTTTTTTATTTTATTTTTTACTTTTATAGAAAGTAAAAAACGAAAAATGTCATTCCTCACTTACATGTTTTTATCCAATTTCGTTATATTGCTCTTCATTATACGAAAATGTCAGCAGAGTATACAAGGGAGATAATTCGATTTGATCTGATCCTTGGTTTCAAGGACAATTTAATAAAACTAACGAACAAATGCAATTAAATATTTGCTTATTTTTCCTCGAACTACATTATGAAGCGGTATTAAAAAAAACAATTTTCATAGAACTTACATTGTGAAAATCAAATATTGTAAGTATGCAGAAAAAAAATTGATGTTTGAATTGTCACCATTAAAAATATCCAGACAAAAAAAAATTGAAGCAAGCAGTAAAAATTAAGTTTAAACTATATTAGGATATAATTGAAAATTTTAGGCAGCTGTAATTATATTTATATCAATTTTAATTAATTTGATGAAGATAAAAAAATTAATCTGCATAGTATCCCTCCAAAATTTTTACAACTTTAGTTTCTACTGATTGCTTTTTATTTTTTTACTAGTGTTGATTTAATGTTGACTTTTGACAACATGGTACAAATCTTATTATAAAATGTTCTGTATCTAATGAAATAATTCTCAGGAGAAACTTTATTTTTTACTTTTAAATATGGCAACGGCACAATTTTTTGGTTTGCCATTTAAAGAATTGCATTTTATTTATTTTAAACAATAGCCATTAATTGCCTTAATATTTAAAAAATATCTAACAGTTGGGATTTTATCCCATAATCCTCCTGGTGTCAGTTTAAACTGACGCCCTCACCTATATATCCAGGCTATAATTTTGAAAATAAAGAAATTTCACTGAATTTTCAAGATTTCTGAAATCAAGAAAATACAAACTTTAAGTAAAATGGTCACAATATATGGAAAAAGATGACAGTTTAAACTTACACAGGGTGGATATGATTTAAAAGCTGTTAGTTGCACTATGCCTTTTGGGCTTGCTTTACCAAGGAATATGCAATGTGTATGCTTTTCTGTATTTAATCTTGTAGAGTGAATGAGATGTGTAATGCTTTTTTACTCCAAATATATTTAAGTCAGACCTAGAATTGCCAAATCTAAAATTTGATAGTCTTCATAGTTTCTAAAAATAAGTCGGTTTGTGGCTAGATGCAGCTGTAAATTCTATGCTAACAGTTTTTTCTCTTTTACTTCTCATTGTGAAAATCTCTTCCCTTCCGACTCATTGCTTTCCAGCCAACTTGAATCTGCAAAAATTTAAATGCAATGTCTATCGCTATCTACTGTCTACCTGATTACTCTCTTTTACTGCTCATCATTGTTTCTGTTCCTAATTCTTCTACACTCTGTAACCCCTTGTGTTTTAGTGGCATTACTGCCTTGCTTGGGGAAGGGGGGGTATTTCAGCTAAAAAAAAAATCCTTTCACCATCTGCATATAATTCTAATGATAAAAAATACTATACAAATTATGGAATTAGCGCATTCATTTTATTTTTTTTTATTTTGCAGTAAATAAACTAAACACATGTAAAATGCAAGACATTTTTAATAGCTGAACATTTTGGCTTCATAAAACATACCTTAAAAAAATAGATTAAATTATTTAGATTAATGGTATAATTTTTTTGTAAGCTTTGCAGAGGAATTTATAGAATAACCCAATATTGAGGAAAAAAAACTCTGGAATATGACAAAAAATTAGAATTAATGCTTAGTTGTCTTTCCTCTTAGATTTTTTGACATAATTCTTTGTCAGTTATGTATTTTTCTTCTCTTGAATCATTTTAAAAATTTCCATCTGAACTGTTTTCTGGCCATATCCTTTTTTAAATATGCCTTTCCTGAAAAGATTTAATATGCTTTGTTCCGTGACAAGACATATTATTGTTCTGAAAATGACTTCTTCATTACTGAACTAAATTTCTATTGATGGAATGAGAAAATTATCTTGGTGTATACATGTGCAGTGATTGTTGAGGTAACCATTGTCAACTTCCCTGGTTCTTTAAATGACATGTGGTTCCATATCATGAGTTGGATGTCACCAGATAAAAGTTCCCACATCATTTGATTTTCCTAATGCAGATTCTTGATTCATTACTGAATATCACTTTCATCTAATTGTTGACACACCATGATTGTTTCTCTTTAAGCCAACTTCAACTTAATTTTTTTTCTGTTTGTGTGTTAGTGCTGTTTTTTTTTTCTCTATGTAAATCAATTTCATTTACCAGATTTCTTACAGCTCTATTACAAAAATTGACTCCTGTTTTGACCCATTTGTTTTGTTTTACATATTCTATTTTTAAGGCCTAATGCTTTGCATTTTCTATCCTAATTCTTTGTCTTTTGTGGTTTACCAGTATGTTTTCCATTTTCTTTTTTAATTGCACTGAATTTTAAACACAACTGGGAACACCAATGTGTTTTGCCACACTCCACTGTTGATTTCCTTCTTGAATGAGTTTTATGATCCTTTTCATTATTTCAATTCACAATATTGTTGGAGCCATTTTTTTTTCCCTTTCAATTGGGTATACTGAATCACTTGCTGAGGTCTGCAAGAACTCTTAATTATAGACCAATTTACATTTCAAGGTTTCTGTTGGTATTTCTTTTAGGAATGCAAATTACAAGATCATTTCATAATTTTTTCTCGACATTGGGTTATTTCATATTTTCCTCTACATGATTTTGAAAAAATTATACTAGTTTAAGATATATTTTATGAAGCCATTAAAGCTATTAAATAAAGAAATGTTTTGCATTTTATCTGTTATTAATTTATTTGCTGCTAAATATTAAAAATAATGTGAACATCCAAGTTTGCAAATTCCATAATATTTGGCAGCAGTTATATTAAAGGTTGGTTTCAATCATAATCTAGCTTGACTATAAAAGCTAATTTTGCTATTTATAGTGACAGTGAAATATTTTAATATGTAGCCACATAAGTGATACTAAATGTGATATTTTGAAAGTCTCTTCCTTATAAGATCTGTTATTGTGTCTAGTTAAGATTTAGTAAATAATATCTCTGTCTCATAATAGTTGCTACATTTCCATACTTATTTCATACACTAAATGTGACAACTATTATGGGACAGAGGTAGTATCTACTTTTGATTTGTAGTCATGATTGAAAATATAACTTAACCAAAATAAAAATCTGAGTAGCAAACATGTTCGAGATTGATAATTGGATAACTTCCATTTAATAATTGCCTTAATTTTGAATAGATACACTTGACATTGGTGTTCTATATGTTAACATAATTTGTATGCACAAAGAATGTTTGTTGAGTGTGTGTGTATATATGTAATGTGTTTATCCAAGTCTATGCAGTATCTTTGCTTAAATGTTTTAGTTGTAGAAAGTTGGTTCTAGTTGGATGCATGGGAGACTAAAGATATCAATTAATATTTTTAAACAAATTTAGAAACTGAACCTGTAAATGAATGTAATTTGATCAGTTTAATAATGAGTTTTTTGAACTCTAAATTGATTTATCATTGAGTAGATGTGAAACCAAATATTGTAATTGTTAATTTAATGGCTTTATTGAAACAATTATTTAGCTTCATCTGAATTGCCTTTTGACAATGCATATATCATGGTTGCTTGATTAAATTGTATTTTATACTATACACAGTTTGAATGCTGACTAATTTTTTTTTTTCTTTTAATAAACTCTTAACAGTAATTGCTTCATGCAAAATAATTTACTTTGAGATTATGTACATAAATTGCCTTTTGGCAGGTTTAATCTAGTCTAATAACGATTACTTGACAAATTGGTTCATGGATTTACATAAATTTTTACTAACTCTTGAAACTGATTTTTATATTAAAGGTTAATGATGACATGGGGTAAAAATATATTGTAATTGTTTTTATTTGTTTTAATGTATTATACAAATATTTTGATTTTTTTTTTTTTTTTTTTTTTTTTTTTTTTTAATTTATTGAAAAAATGCAGGGACTTCTGTTTTTATTTACTACTTTTCTTTTTCTCTGCTTTAAAATATTTCTTTATATATTTCTTTAATAAATTAGCA